CTTACCTGTTTTTCATCTTTTCTTTCTCTGTACCTGTCTTTCACAAAACACTTTCCTAAGCCAGGAAAATCAACACTTTTAAGACACAGTAGCAAAGCTGACATAGTCCTACTGAAGTTCTCACCGAGAAATCTAGAAACAAGGGACTGGGGTTTTTTTTTTCTTTCTCTCCCCTGCCCCCCGCTCCCAATCTCACTGTGAAGTTCCTCCTGCCTACATAAAATGCGTGAGGCTGCTGTAATCTGTCATTATTGTGCCTGTACTCTTCTGAGGCAGCCAGTAGTTCAGGGAGGAAGAAGGATTTCCGCGGGGGGAAGTCAGGTATCCTCTGTGTTTGAACGGAGCAAATGATGCGCAGAACAAAGAAATATTGTGTTCTCTGTGTGTGTTATTTGGATGCTTGGGGTCTCCACTAAGGGTGCTGTCCAGGGGAAAGGGATGGTGTTTTTTCGAGCCGCAGTCAGACTGTAATCTAAGGAACTATTTTATCACGAAAATTATGCGTAGGTGTTAGATGTCTGTCCTAATGGCTGCTTCTAATTGTGATTTCAGGCAGAAGCTTTGCCCTTTAGGAGGCTCGCAACAGATCAGAGCAAGCATTTAGCAGCTTAAGGAGCCAGAGACTCCAGCCGTGGCTTTGGTGCCGTCTGGCGCAAATTCAGTGGAGACTTTTGGATTCGGGAAATGATAAATTACAAGTTGTGCTATGAAAGAGTGCACCACAAAAACCACCTTTATCAAGTAGAACAGACCTGACTTGTAGCTGTTAATGTCACATTGAAGTTGCTCAGTGCCCTAACGTGGCTGTGACCCACGTAAGTCTAGCCGTTGTCTGGTGACTTTGCGTGTCAGAGTGGTTTAGTGCTGCCATTCCTTGATAAAATACCTATTGAAAATTGAGTTGATTTGAAGTTGATTGCTTCTCTCAGACAATTTTGGAAGCTATCAGTTGGCTTCCTTTTCTGTTGCCTTCTCTTTTATAAATTTGATCTTACTTTGCAGGAGTCTTAGCAATTCGAATTTTTACTTCGGAAGACATATTGTTTTAAAATCAGTTATGGTTCTGTTGTCTATCTGAAATTTTCCTACAGAATACTATTTCTTCCCAAGTGTTCATTTGTGAAACAAGTCCGGTTTTTACAGCAACACTGGTAAAAATCTGGCAGACCCCAGAGATAAGTCCTGCCCTGTATTACTTTGGTATACATCTGAAAGTTAGCTTGCTTACCACACGAAGTCTGAAGGCGCACCAGTAAAGATACAAGACTGAGCATCAGCTGCATAGGTAACCCTTTGCATGGAGATTTTATACTATTGCAAGTTTAACTCCTTAGTGCTGCACTGAGCATCGTTCAAATGGAGATGGTCATCATTCTCTGTCTTAGAAGTGTCTGCAGTTTAATAGTGGGGTGCATACAGTACTTGCACTCTGATTCAATAAATGCACGTGCAATTGATTTTTTAAGTATGAGGAGTCCTGCTGACTGGAAGTTATGCTTACGGTTAGCCCTGTCTGCAAGTGTTTATACGATTGAGGCTGAAATCCTCTTCATCCAGAGTAAAACTACCTGAGGGGCAGAGTATCGCCAAGTCATAAGGTGGAGGCTGGATGCTGTGGTGTTGTGCACTGCGTTTGTTATTTCTTCTGGTTGTTTTTGTTGGACACGGGAAAACCATGGGTGCATTTTAGCGTTTAGGATTTTGGCTGCCTCTCTGACTGGCTTCAACTCTCCTCATTGGTGAGGACTGGAGAATTGCTGTGATGGCTCAGTCAAAAACCCCCAGGTGATGGCGAGTATCTTCTGGTACTCTGTATTCAAAGTGTAAAATAGGAGTCCAGCACATCTCTTACCACCACCCCCGGTTTACTCAAAGCAGCCAGACTTGTTGAAGATGTAATTCCAGTGATATGCCAGGGCAGGATTTGACCCTCCAATTTAATAGCCTCATGTGTCTGTGAGTAATTAAAAATAACGAGTAATGTAAAGTGAAGGAGTATGCTTATGTAATTAAAGTTGCGATGGTCTTTGTGTTGCCCTGCTGTGATACCGTGTTAACATCTCTTGCAGCGTTTCATGCTTTTCTTTAAAATGCAGCCTTCTGAAGTTAGGTGACTGTGTGACAATCCGCTTCTGGTGGCAGAGCAGGGCTGTTTCTAACTTCTGTAGTTGCTGGAAAAAGGTCATGAAAATGTTGCTTCTTCCTCTGCAACTCAAAACCGAGATGGAAAGAGAAAGTTTTTTTGAAAAGTAACATGAGCTTTCAAGCCAGCCTTGTGGCTGACTTTTGACTTTTTAAGTGCCTGGGGCTGGCAATAAAAGGATTAGGTGGTGCAGCAGCCATCTGGCTCTCAAAGCAGGAGGTCCTCCCTTGCAAACTGAGAGGCTGCCTTGTGAGAGAGCCGTCCAGATTTTGCCTGGCCTTGGTGTATCCCCACTCCCATCCATGCATCTGCCTCCCCACCTCAGCGCACCAAAAATAGTTTTGTTCGCAAGTCTTGCGAGGAACGTCACCTTTTGAGCCAATGAGTATGGGTGGGGTAAAAGGACTAAAAGCAGGTGTAGTGTTAAAGAAAAAAGATGTATTGACCTGTGTCCGCTTGTGGCACGCATCAGCCTTGGGTTACACGAGGCAAAAAGTGAATATGTTTTTCCTTGGATTTGTGTGTGCATCTGTGTTCATTCCCTCCCTTCCCTGTCGGCATCATCAGCCACCTGCACAGAAACAGGCAGGCAGATGTCTGCACGGACATTCGAAGGGCAGCTTTGCAACGCTAGTTCCCTAACACACTTGACTGCCATAGGGTGGGCATGTATGGAAAACACTGTTGGCAATACCAGTACTGTGTGTTCAGTAAAATACAAAGATTTTGCTTGTGGTGTATTTTACTAGTGGTGGCAAAATCCAAGTGAAACACATCGTTGAGAAAAAAGAGGGAGTTTGCATCACTCGCAAAGGCATTTTTCCCCCCGGAACATTAGTTTTTTATACGTGCAGGTATGGAAATAAAATGTTAAGTCACATTTGTAACAAAGCCATTAATGTAACAGCGTCCGGAGTGGCACAGAGTGGATGTAGCTCCTGAGTCTCCCTGGGACGCAAAGCACCCGTCTCAGAGGGAAGGCAAAAGCAGCTGCTGGTGGTGGCTGAATTTCTCCGTAGCCCCCATCTGCCTGCTCAGCCTGGATCAGGTCCTACTGGCAGACAGCGCTAATGACCGCAGGCAGGGCAGGGCTCACCATGGTGACCAGCCACTTTTTGAAACGCAAATTGTTTTCATTTTTGTTCAATGCTATTGACCGTGGAGGAAGGGCCGGGCTGTGGTGTTTTTTCCGTATGGATTTTAGCCCCAGTACCAAAGGAAGGGGTTGGAAGGTCTTTTGCTGTCGGAGGAACGGTGAGTGCCAGGGAAGCGTTTGCCCGTGCGGCTCTTTGACAGCTCGGTGCAGAAGGGCTGCTGCACCTACAGAGAAGTCTCCCACCTCTGCTCCAGAAAAGAAATTAATGAAAGGAAGAATAGCAACATTTTGGTTTAGACATTTTGCCTTTTAAAGGAGGGAGGTAGAAGCTAATATATCAATACCCTTGAAGCTACCTACTTAATGAATCTGAGTTATCACTGGCACCCATTGTTTTGTTTTATGCATAAAGGCACCGATGGAAAAGTTTAGACTAGATATTTTTAATTAACTTTTGATTCTGTGCTTTCCTGAAATTACTTTGGAGAAGTTAAAATTCTGGGGAGTCATTTGTTTGCTAAGTTGAACAAGAGGCATGATTAAAGCCAGTTACAAACATCAAGAGAGTCCTCTGATTTACAGTTGCTCAGGGCTTGATCTTGCTGTCATTTCTGTCAGCTGAAGAACTTCAGATTTTCTATAAACCATTGACTTTATCTATGAGATCTCACCTTCCAAACTACTTCTTGCAAAATACTAAGCACAGTACTCCAGCTCTTCAAATGACTGTGCAGGATGGTCAACTGGTGTGTTGAAGTGGACTTTTGGGCTGATTAATTAAATGGTGTATTTACATGTGGTGTTATTTCAGTATCAGGGTTGCCGGCATTTTGCAAGGCAGTGATTAGTACTACCTTGAATGTTTCCAGGGATGGGGCATCTACAACTTCTCTATCAACTGTCTTGAGTAGTTTTGTGTGGCTGTGGCTGGTTTACCTCAAAGCGCGGTGAAAGCACAGGTGACTTGGGGGACTCTGAGATGGGACGAGATGATTCCCGAGGCTCCCAGAGGCAGGAACATGCTGATCAGTATTTGCAGGTTTTCATGACTGAGTAGCTGGGGTTATCTGTTTTCTAAATAAAAAATGATGCTGAAAGAACTGCATGCAAATTAAGGGAAACTTATTTCAGATAAGCAGATTTTTTTTTCCTGTTTACAGATGAAAATATTCCTGCTATTCAGAATAGCAGCAAATACAAATTCATTGAAATACAGCTTATTTAAGATTTGAGATACCGTTGGCAAATTTCTGTCCCTGTCCACAGTAGATGAAGTGTTACTACACTAAAAATTAAATCTTTTCTGACCTTCTGGTTTTGTTTTTTCTGAAATTGTGTCACACTACTGTGTTTGTGTATTTTCAACATTTGGAATCATCTACAGGGACTGTAAATTCCGTTGCTAAAGAAACAAAATAATCACACTTGTAGCTGTTGACCTGTTAGCTGCCTGTGCTTCTTTCTGTGGTTTCTTCTGCACAGCAATGGCCTGTGAATATATAAGAAATGGAAAAAGATAGCCGATTGGATTAAATGGCTGTAAATGTTGTGTCTAAGGAAATTACATTGTGTAATTACCCTCTCATTTCCATCATGTAGATATATTTTTATGTTCTGTGCTGCTGATGTCCTTTAAAATACTGTGTAGCTAGTTTTTAGCCTTTGTGCATTTCAAATTCATATAATTTGCCCTTTGTTTATTTCCCCTGACATCTCTAACCACTGCTATTAAAATCCTTGTTTTGAACCTGCTGGTTTTAGATGCCAGACCAGTTTGATCAGACGGTGGTGCTTAACCAGCTGCGCTATTCTGGGATGTTGGAAACAGTCAGGATTCGGAGGGCTGGCTTCCCGGTCCGGAGGCCCTTTCAAGACTTTTATAAAAGGTAAACACACTGACTTGTGCACTTCAGATGTGAGTCACGGGTACCAAATCAACGTTCCCATGTTGAGGAATAAAATGAAAATCTAATAACAAAAAAAGCATATGGCAAAAATAGAACTTGTCTCTTAAATGAAGTAATAAATACTTTTTGGTTGCCAGGTATAAAGTCCTCATGAGAAACTTAACTCTGCCCGACGATATAAATGAGAAATGTGCCATCCTACTTCGTCTGTATGACAACACAAGCACTGAATGGCAGCTTGGAAAAAATAAGGTAAAAAAATCTGACTGTGCGTATTGTGGGACTGCTGCTGAGGGGACAGGATTTAGACTACACAGCTGCAGAGAGGTAGTTGTAATGGTAATTACTTTTGGCCTTAAAAGAAGCTGCGCATGCCTGTTGGTGCTCTTGAAACCCTTATAGCAACAATTAATGGTTGTACTGAGGAATTTGCTGTCTAAGGCACTTAGACACTGACTGGTGATTTCACTCATGGAGAAAGAGTCCACTTGAATTTTCTGCCACTTCTCACAAGTGATGGCGCTGGTGAGGATCAGAACTTAAAACGTGGTAGCTGGTACCATTTTTAGAAGTGTCAAGCATGTGAGGTTATGCTTTTGTTCTGCAGGGAGCTCCACTTATACTAGTAAACCCACCTGCGTGATACCTGCCCAGTGGCTGAAATCAGGGGGAGGAATTTTAGCCAGTGTTCGTGTAGCAGAGTTGAGCTCTAAGTGTGTTTGCCATCCTAGTCTGAGAGTCTTTTTCAGAGCTACATTAGACCTCGATAGGTGTCCTACCAAACAACCTGAACTTTGCCCACAACTTTTTTCCTTCCAAAAAAATTTCAAATTATTTTAATTAAAAGAATGGAATTTTAATTTGAGAAACAAAACAATCTGGGTGGTTTTGCGTGCTCGTTTTACAAGTTTGATTTGGACAACAGCTGTGTGCAGAGCTTCCCTTCTTCTTGCAAATTTGTGCTCTTGGACTTAACAAATAATGTGAAGGTATCGTGTACTCAGGAGAAGATTCCTCATTGCAGGATCTGAGATTTCCTAAATATTAAAAACATCTGGTGCAAAGGACTAGAGAGTGGATTACAAACATCAGGCCATCACTGCCAAGGATCATCCCCCAGGCCTCCGCAGATGGCTTTCTCTTTTTTTTTTCTCTGGGTAACTCCTGTTGGCGCTCCCAGGGCGTCTGTAGGAGAGAGAGAATGAAAAACAGGTCCAGAATAAAGTTTGTTGAATTATGTGTTACACTTGCAGTTTTCCTGTCAATTGTGAAAAAGCTTTCTCATTACCATAAGGTAGCAAAAGTATTTTGTAAATTGATTTTTGTGTGAAACGCCCTTCCTCCTCACCCTCTTCTCCACGCAACTACATAATTTTGAAGGATTTCCTCCATTCCTCTGCACGCTTAAGGAGTCTCAGAGGTGCTATTAGGAAAGTTGATTTAATTGTTTTACAGTTATTGTGAGAGAGAGAATCTGAAATATTCCTATGGCAATTGAAGTCATCTTTCATCCCATTTTTGTAGACGATGGCTTACAAATAATGCAATGATAACGTTCACCCACAGAGCTAGGCTGTGCTTCCCATTATACTTTCAGTTGTAGCATATTAGCAGTATTTATGCACAGACCCCGGACAGTGCTTTGGCATCTTAGGGACATATATTTGTGAGAACCCGGAATTGTTTTAACCAGGACCTTGTCAGGAGCCAGAGCTCTGTTGTAACTTCCCTTACTGGGGCCTGGGCTCATCCCCCCGAGGAGCTGCCTGCACATTTGTAAAGAGTGTTCATAAACAACTTACTGTAGAAGAGAACAAGAGGGCATTGGTTTCAGACTGAACACGGGATGGGGCACTGTCCTGCCCATGTTATTTAAAAGGGGTAATAACAACACTGCAATGATTTAGCTTCAGTGTGAATTTTTCTTGTCTTTTACATCTCAAGCTGCAGTGCAGCTGCTCAGGAAGAAGCAATACTCTGGGCTTAACATGTGTTTAACATCCATTTTTGTTCAGGAAGTAGCTGAATGCTGTTCTGAAGCAGAATTTCGGTATCTTTTTAAAGGCAGCGTGTGTAGAGCAAATTAAAAAATTTGCCCACTGGGTGAAAGAAAAGGCTTTTTCCATGAGTAAAAGCTTTGTGTAGAAAGCGCTGCCCAGTGCAACTTGGATACTGGAACTTTGGGACTTTCTGTGGGACACTTTATGTTCCTCACTGTTGGGTAATTTGTGGTAAAACGTAGTCCCTTTCTAGCTACATTCAAAACTCACAACTGTGCCTCTCCTCAGGAGTGCTGCTGCTTTGGCTTTGATGATGGGCTGTTTTTCCCCTAAACACAGAGGAAAAAAACTACCTTTTTTCTACTTGAGCTCTCCCAAAAGTCTGTATTTTTCTTTTTTTTTCTTTTTTTTTTTCTTCACAGCAAGAAAAAACCCGAAACACTTCAAGGAAGCATTCTGCTTTTAGATGTCTTTGCAGCCCTCTTCCCTTAGCAGAGCCCACACTATCCAATGCACTTTCCTCATCGCCATGTTGTGGTGTGCAGCCTGGCTCTCATCCCAGATAATGAGAGTGTCACTGAACTGGCTATTTCCAGCTGCTCATGTCTTAGCCAGCAGCATGGCAGGCTGTTGCCACCTATGGCTGATACCAGCAGACTTAGCCTTCAAAAAGGAAAAGTTGAGAAGACCTGGAAGAAGCGCTGGCAGCAGAGAGCTCACCGCTTTGTGAGTGTGCAGTAAAGAGCAGACGTCAAGGCAGGTGGAAGAGGGAAGCTGCATCCCCCATGCCTCTGCTAGGCTGGAGAAGCAGTTTCGTTCATTTAAGGCAAAATAAGCTGGGTTAGCTCAGTATATGTCAATGCCGTGTGCTAAGGCACTAGGCAGCCCGGGCGAATGATCCAGGTTAGTGCTCGGATGACAGCCTGGGGAGCGGTCTGTCTGCAGGAGGGCGGACGGCTGTGGTGGGCTGTCTGGCCCCAGCAGCCGTCTCCCCGTGTAACGACAGGAAAACACAGTCGAGCCAACCCGAATATGAAACCACTCTCATTTCTGCTTACTTCTGCAGGCTTATAGCAATGTCATTTGAAGCAATGAGGCTTGTAAGGGCTTGCGGCACTTGATGTTTCTGAAAACAGCTAAATTATCGGGGTGGTATTTCTGCCCCTCAAATCAGGAAGTTCATGCTAAGTCCTACAACTTCTTTGGCCTGTGTTACTCTTTTGTGGGAAAGGCTGTAATGAATCCAGTAATTATGTTGCTTTTGGAAAAACCCTGCTCCTAATTGAAATTTTCTTTACTGTAATCAGGCTCTTCCCACTGAAAACCAAAGTTAGAGGATCGTCTGCAGGTATTTTCTTTTAAGAGGAATACATTTTGGTTTTTTCTTTTCTGTTGAGGAAACGGTATGCTCGTCTCTGAATTCAAAGCTGAGGCTTGCTGCTCAGCCTGACATCAGCAGCGCCCTGGCTGTCCTTTATATATGATGCTCTCCACAAGTTGTTAAGTCAGAAGTTTTCTTGTGTAGGTGTTTCTCCGGGAGTCCTTGGAACACAAGTTGGAGAAACAGCGAGAGGTGGAAGTCACCAAGGCAGCAATGATTATCCGAGCGCACATCTTAGGTTATGCAGCCCGGTAAGTGACTAGATGAGAATGTTAATAATTAAGCTTTGGAATAAATGATTGGGGTGTCATGGAGTTAATCTTTCTGGCACAATTCTTTTCTTAGGGACCAGGCATCCAAATCCTGTAAGTGGCTTTTGAAGATACCAGCTGGTATCTTTGCCAGACCCATGAATAAAACAAAATCGAGTTTGAATTGTTTTAATATAATGAACAGGACAGTATGGAAGTTTGGAGATCAGCCAGTATCCATATCACTGTATCATGGTATTAGATCCATGGTAGGAACCCTAGCTGGATGGCACCTAGTGGGACTGCCCCGAGTTACCAGCTGAGATTCAGCTTTATCTTTCTTTGTCATGGTAAGAAAAGAGAAGGCAAATAAAACTAATCAGTTTGGTTTTTAAAGAACCATGACATTAGGTAACTGATTAATGTTTCACTTGTTTACCTGGCTTCATGCATTATGTATTAGGTGGAGTTGCTCATCCCATTATTTCTCTGCTTTTTCTACAAATGAGTTGAGGACAGTTTAAGGAAACTTGTTTGCATGATGAGGTACTTTCTCTTCATGTGTATATTAGTCCTGTCCTTACATTCTGACCAGTATGTTACTTAAAAACTATATTCCTTTCTTAATGACAGAGCTATCCTGCTGTTCATGATCTTTCTTTTCAGAGATGTGGGATGACTATTTATGTATATTCTTTCTCCACATGTGTGCACACACGCAGGGCTGTCCTTTTAGCATCTCCTTGTCAGGGGCATAAGAACATGTAAGACAAGTAATGCATTTCCTTAATGAAGACACAGACAGCACTGTCACAGAAATGAGAGAATCTCTTTCCTCTCCTAGGGAGGAGAATGTGAAAGAGGATGGGGAAACAATCACTGAGCTAGAAATAGTAAATTGTTTTACTACCATGGGCTCATTATTGCAGGTCACCATGGCAAGACCTCTCATGACTGCTTGTTAGTTCCTTGTTTCCTTAGAAATTTGCTTCTTTTTTTTTTCCTCCCAGAAAGCGGTATAGAAAAGTTCTCTACTATGTGGTTGTGATACAGAAGAACTACAGAGCATTCTGCGGTAGGAAAAAGTTCCTGTGCCTGAAGAAAGCAGCCATAATCCTTCAGAAGCAGTGGCGAGGCCAGCTTGCTCGACGTGTTTACAGGGAGCGACTAGAGGAGAAGCGGAGACAAGAGGAGGAAAGAAGAAAAGAGGAGGAAGAAAGGTGCAGTATGCTGTTTACATCACTCTCCTGTCTGTGTCATATTAGTTTTTGCTCTGAATAGCCTTTGTTTCTTGATCAAGTGATTTTGGAAACCTTTGCTTCTTTTGCTAAAAAATGCATGTAGCTATCATGGTAGTTTCATACTCTCAAACATATCCTTGGTGACCTTATTTTGGCTGTCTTTTCCATGTGGCAGATGATCTCTGTAAGTTGAGCCATTGCCCTAGCAAAGGTATGTGATGAGCTTATGTTGAGCTTGATTTACTAACTTCTTTTCTTCCTTCACTTTTAGGGAAAGGCAAAGGCAAGAAGCAGAGCGTCTTGCCCAGCAGGTAAATGGTATTCTTAATGCTTTCAGCCATCCTGTTTATTTGAGTATCTCAACCCAGCCATTAAAAAAATAAAAGGCATCTGTGGCATTTAAACTAAACTTATTACAGGAGTTGGCAGATAAAGCCAAAAGAAACTTGATACAATTGTTTGCGTGGAAATTTCTTTCACCTCATGCTTCATTTAATTTCTGGCAAAGATTGAACTTTCTGTACATACATGAGCTTTCCAGTATCTATGAGCAAATGTAATCGTGTTTTCTTTTTTCTTTTTCTTTCCTTTTTCTTTCTGATGTAGGGATAAGGGTCTTTTTAAATGAACAGCATGGTGGGAGCATAGTGCTTTAGAAATAAATAAATTTTAAAAAGGAATCTAGCACTGGGGGGCTTTAGTTTAGTTTAGTTTAATTTTCTTTATTTTATTTTGAATGCAGGCTGAAGAAGAAAGAAAGAAGCAGGAACTGGCCGCCATTCAGAAAGCCCAGAAGGAGGCAGAGCTGAAACACGAGGTGGAGAAGCAGAAAGAAAGCAGGCAGGTGGAAGAAATCTTGCGTCTGGAAAAAGAAATTGAAGACCTGCAGCGCGTGAAGAAGCAGCAGGAGCTGTCCTTGACAGAGGCTTCATTACAGAGGCTGCAGCAGCTTCGAGACGAGGAACTCCGGCGGCTCGAGGATGAAGCATGTCGAGCAGCCCAGGAGTTCCTGGAATCTCTGAACTTTGATGAGATTGATGAATGTGTCCGAAACATTGAGAGGTCTCTCTCTGTGGGCAACGGGTATCCTGCTGAGCTGACTGAACAGACTGGAAACGCCTGCAGTGAAAAGCCCAATTTTAACTTCAGCCAGCCATATCCTGAGGAGGAGGTAGATGAGGGCTTTGAAGCTGATGATGATGCATTTAAGGATTCGCCCAACCCAAGTGAGCATGGCCATTCTGATCAAAGGACCAGTGGCATCAGAACAAGCGATGATTCCTCAGAAGAGGATCCCTATATGAATGATACTGTGGTGCCAACAATTCTATACCTCCTACCCATGATACAGTCAGTCTCCACAACTCTTCAAGTGGTGAATCCACATACTGCATGCCAGAAAATGTATCGTGTAGACCCCCAAATTCTGTGGAACTTATTTCTCCCGATGGAGACTATGATTACGACCAAGACGATTATGAAGATGGTGCTATTACTTCTGGTAGCAGTGTGACCTTCTCTAATTCGCACAGTAGCCAGTGGTCACCGGACTACCGGTGCTCAGTGGGAACATACAATAGCTCTGGAGCGTACCGATTTAGCTCTGAAGGAGCTCAGTCTTCTGTAAGTATCATTGTTTTTATCACCTAATAATTGATATGTGCTTTCTGATTTTTTTTTTCCACACTGCAGCCTCTGTAGAGTCATTTGTTCTTACAAATGTCTGTGTTGTGTAGTTTGAGTTGCTTAGACTGCAGATGGACATAGTTGTCTGTTGCCATCTAGATGCCACTGGGGTGAGTGCATTAGAGTTAGAGGCAGCTCAGATGCTGCTTGCAGTCCTAGGCTTATGCAAGAATATGGTTTTGTCTGTTTTAATGCAAAACTGCACGTTATTTGGTGAGGAGCTCAGTGCATGGCCTTGGATGCAATTCATAAGCAAAATTCTTCTCTGTGTGTATGTTTCAAGGGGGGGCACTAGATAGCATGGTGGGGAATTGATTTCAGAAAAAACAGATTCAGTTATGCATGCAAGTTGCAACAGTATGGAGTAAGCTGCTTGCAGAAGTCCCTGAAATGCCAGGTGTATTTTGAGATGACTTGGAGAGTAAATTTCACATGATGGCAAATATTAGAATTAGCGAGACAGACACTCATACTGAAGAGCTCTTTTTCAGTGCTGTTTGCTGAGTATACTGTGGGCTTCACTCTGACAAATATTTTTGGAAGAAAATTATTTCCTTGACCACTTACAGAATACTTCTGTGAGACTGTGTGGCTGGGAAAGTGAAAAAGTATTTCAGCAACACTGACTTCTTTGGAAGGAAAATGTTAACGCTATCTATTACAGTTGAGGTAATGGAAACCAGTCAAAGAGCCACCACAGTTGTTGGGATAAGTTGACAGTTCTTGCCTAAAGGGAGAATGCTTTTAGCTGTCTCTGTTGAGGACTCCTTCCTATTGCACGATTCTGGGTGTGTGTCAGAAACAGAACAGAGATTCTGGTTATTTGGCATGAGGGTGGAGGAAAGTTAATACCACAGCTTGTGGAGTGTGTTTCTTTTCCAAGACTTCTCTAAACAGTTACCCACAGCACTTCAATGGTGGAGGGAGGTAGCACAAGGTAGCGTACCTTGGCCATGCTCTTGCAAAGCGATAACTTTCCTGAGCAGCTACAAAGCTGTTTCATAGATCTGTTACGTGACATTAGGGCTAGTGTGTAATCAAACAGTTCAAGCTGCAACTTACTACGATGTACTCCTTCCTTTGTTAGCTGGACGGAAACCAGCGAGGAATCATGTTCTTCCAATACATCATAAAATGTTTTAGCTGAGACTTCTAAACCAATTTTATCTGAACTCTTTCCTGAGAGATCACTTCACCTTTATTTCCTTTCTTGTGTAGTTTGAAGACAGTGAAGAAGATTTTGACTCCAGGTTTGATACAGATGATGAACTTTCCTACCGGAGGGATTCAGTATATAGCTGTGTCAGCCTGCCCTACTTTCACAGCTTTCTGTACATGAAAGGTACTGGGTGAATCAGAATTCGCTAAATACACAAAATAACCAGAAATGTTTGTTATACCTTGCACTCCAATTCCTGTAGAGTTAAGTTATTTTCTTATTTTTCAAAGGGTGATGGAAAAGTAACTTAATTTGAGCTGCTCTCAAATTAAGTTACTTGCAGTGGCTTACATCTAGCAGTGTTTTTCCCCTCTGCAAATGAACATTAACATTTTGGGCTGCCTCTGTTTCATTTTACATCTTTGCTGGCTCGTAAACAATGGAATATCCAGTATTAATGTAGCAGAATAACTCACAAAGTCAAATTGTACCAAATTTTGAGGAAAGCTGATTCCTGCTCCCAAAACCTCGTATCACAGACAGCATTCTACATTGCAAACCAGTTTTACTGACCTCAGTCGACTTTCATTTTGGATCCAAAAGGCACAAAGAAGGACATGTGTAGCAAAGGGGCATGAGAGACTCTGAAAGAATATACACAGGAGTTCTCTGGTTAAGATTCTTGGTTTCATCTTCTGATGATTGACATTAAATTATAATCTAGATGAATCCTTGTATGATACCCATCACAGTAGCATAACTTATTTTCCTGGAATAGGAACAGTGAATGTGCGCACAGCTATGTTTGTGTGAAAAATAATGCAGTCATCACTAGCATGGCTTTTACTTTCTGACATAGTTAGCAATAAGTTTTTGTGGAATGACAGGAGTATATTGGTTTGGTTAAGGCTTTTATGACTGTCATGTAACTACAGTGCAAGGTGTATTGTTTACCGTAACAAAACTCACAAGAAGTTTAGACAGTATAGCCACACTTTGGTATGACTGAGCTCAAACTGGTATATTTCCTACTCTAAGTATAGCTTTTCCAGGTTTTGTGGTTTTGAGTTACTTCCTAATAACCTGGAGAGAGGAAAGAGCTAAACTTTTCTTAGATTATCATTGAGATACATTGAAAACAGTGTTAAAGATCTGATTCTCATACGCAATAAGACTTTTAAATAATTTATTATTTATTATATATGTTTTTGTTATATAGAGATTTATTATAATTTATAATTTAAGGGTCTTTAGATTGCCAACAATATTGATGGCCTTAAGGATATGCAAAAATGAGATCTTTGGTTTCATGGCTTACAGCAGACTCTGTTTAAGTACAGCATTGTTGGTCAGCATCTTCCAGCGTTGGTTTGATCACAGCTTCTGTTTTATAATATAATTGTTTGTCTTAACTACGTATAAACCCACATCTGTCTCTCTTGCCAGGTGGCTTAATAAACACATGGAAGCGACGCTGGTGTGTCCTGAAAGATGAGACCTTCCTGTGGTTTCGTTCCAAGCAGGAAGCACTTAAGCAGGGTTGGCTTCACAAAAAGGGGGGTGGATCATCTACACTTTCCAGAAGGAACTGGAAGAAACGATGGTTTGTTCTCAGACAGTCCAGGCTGATGTACTTTGAAAATGACAGTGAAGAAAAGCTAAAGGGTGCCATTGATGTCCGAACAGCCAAGTAGGTTTATGTGTGTTTATATGCAAGCCATAGTTCCTCCTAAATACTTCTTGGGGCTTAATCTGGGAAGATGTTGAGTGCCCTGCCTTCAAATTATGTGAATGCAAGCATGAGAGTGTGTGTGATGGAAGTTATTGAAAGCAAGCGTTGTCCTTACTTGGCTCTCTCTTAAGTCTACGGAGTGCTCCAGAGCTAAGCCAGTGCCAAATACTTCAGAAGACTGCTGCTATAATGAACCCATCTATGCTTTCTCCCAGACTAGAGGCTCTACTTAGCCTATAATGATTCCCAAGGCAATTCGGGGCATGTTGCCAAGTCCATAGCTGCAGGCAAACCTAGAATGGAGAGGGTGGAATTAATTAAGGCCCTGAATATATATAAGTTAGCATGGGTCAAAGCTGTATCTTCTGTATGCATTTACGATTTTTTTCATTTTGAAATAATTGTGGTAGTGGTAGAAAAGTCTTTAAAATGTGTATATTCATTTAAAAAGAATAGAATTACTAAACCTAACTTAATAACTTACGTCTTGCTAACTAAAGTTCCTTACACCTTAAAATTCTATGCTTCCTGAAGCATGCATCGAAAAAGTTTTCTAAGGGATGGTATTTTTTCTTCAAAAACAGTCAGTATGCTTTATGAACTTATGGATTATCTAATTTAAAAATTAGAGTGTGCTAACATTGGTAGTCTCATTTCTGTATAAAAGTATACCTAAGCTTTTTCCAAGGTAGAGAAAAATAGAAATGGCTGTAACACTTGATTCCGCTCTGCTCCTTGTAATCTGCAACTATCCATTTTATTTTGTTAATTCAACAGAGTACTTAAACTAAATTGAAAGCTTAGATTAATCGTTTCTTTGGAAGTCCTGGCTTGAGCCTGATTTCAAGCAGGACAAAGTAAATAGTTTCAGTGAGCTTCCTGACTTGCTCTTGTAAAGCCAATGGGCTGCTGGCTGTCAAGTAAATCTCTGAATAGAGACTGATATTCCCACCACAATTTTTTTTGTTGAAAGTGAATTTGACTCTCATGTACCATAGCATTTATTTAGCATATTTTTCTAACATGTTTAAACCTTCTTTTTTTTGTTGTCACTACATTGTTTCATTGACTGTGCCTTATAGAAGTTCTTTGCTGAACGTACCTTTAAAATTGTCAGGTAAAGGTTGTTGAACCTAACTTGAACTGTAGGTTCAGTCAATGACTATTTGTGTATAAAATAGCTGAAAGAAACGGTACTTGTATTTAAAGAGCTGTATGTCCTGAGAAATAAGCAATAGCTTTTCTAGGTAACTTTAATATTCACTGAGTGCACTCCTAACATATCATGCGACTTAAAAATTTCACCATTCCGTATTAGGGACCCCATTTGAATTAAATAAATCTTAGGCTGATTCACTTAAAAGACAGAACAGGGTGGTATTCTGTTGGACACTGTTCTTGGGAGGGAAGGAAGCCAAATTACAGAAAACAGTACAGAATTCCAGCTTTTTGTGTTATTAGCAGATAAATTGTCCTCATGAGTCTGATAAGCAGAGCTCGCATGTATTGTTTATAGGATAGAGATTTGTGAGTATAGCTGATAAGGAAGTATAGCTAGTTAAGGAAATAATAAGCTTCAGACAAATACAGTAAAACAGCAAAAAGGAAATCAAGTTGATTTCTTAAGCTTCAGGAAAACCTGATGTAATACTTAAATTACTTCTTAAAAATCTTGTGCTTTATGGTTCATGATTGTTTGATGTATCGATACTTAAATGTCCAAACTACAAATTAGAAAGATGTAACTTTTCAGCAGATGAGTGCTCAGCTTTTTCTGGAAGTCATGTTTGGAATTGTCTTTATGCTGACTCACAACCACACAGAACCACTAATCCAGGTTTTGTTTGCTTTTTGTTTTTAATCTTCAAGAGCTTTCTTTTTACCACTCCAAAAATTACTTGCGTATGCAATCAGTTCAGAAATACATCCATTTCTCAAATCAGTTATCCTTGCCTCTCTTGAGGTTTGATAATGCTTTTTCTTTAGTTCTTGTTAAAAAAATAACAGAATGCTCAACTTGGTATATATTCGTAGTAGTTTGAATATTTGTGCTGTATAGGCAGAAAACACAACAACTATCGTTTGGTGAATTAATACTGTCTGATGAATCTCACTGTGAGTCTTGCAAATGAATCCGATTAAGGCTAACTGCTGTTACTTTAAGTATCAGTAGTTTGTGAGCCTCTCAGCAGAACAGAATTTTCAAGATGTTGACAATCTCTAATGCTCTATCTTGGTGTTTTCCTCTTTTCAGAGAGATTGTTGATAATACAGGCAAAGAAAACGGTATTGATCTAATAATGGGTGATAGGACCTACCACTTAATTGCTGAGTCTCCTGAGGATGCAAGGTATGAAAATCATCAGGCTGTTTTCTTTTCTTTTCTTTTTTTTCCCTTTTTAACCTCTTTGCCATTCTGACTTGTGCTTGTCATTAATTTATTTGCCCGCTGTCACAAAATATTCAGGCTGTGTTAAACACGTTGCATTTAACATTTTTTTGAAAGGCCTGCTGAGAAGAAAATCTTGTAGCAGAACATTACTGGGAAGAGTCAGACTGCCAATGAAAATTTGCCTAGAACTTGGCTGTTACCCATTTATCACTAGCAACTTTCTGAAACAGTATGTCTGTAGGGAGGCAGTCATCAGCCATTGATGCTTGTCTTGTGCATTACCCTGCTGTGTTTAGCTGCATAGATTAAATCAATATTTAAGACCCTGTAATCTGCCTGAAATAGGGTACTGTTCTTTAAGATTGGGATCTGTTTGCCTAAGCAGAGCCTAAAATTTTTTCAGATAAAAGTTCTCATGTGGTCACTGGATTTTAGGGTGAAAGTGTGTTCGTGAATAAGAAGAGCGTGCAACAGAGCGTTTCCCTTTCTGCTAATTTGAAAAGGGTCTCGTTTTTGTTCTGGCTAAAGGATCCATATCAAACTGTAGGGGAAGGCTGGTAGGTGAGGAGCAAGCTTGACTTGTCAGATCACTTGTAGCGCATCTTTTTAAAAAAAAAATGGAAACACACACACACCAGTTCTTGTGAGATAATAATATGCTTGCCCATAAAAATCAAGTATTTAAATAAAGTGAACTTAGTAATCAAACCTTATTACCCGCTGCTTTGCTGCCCCAAAGCCAGAATACAGGATGCCTATGTCAACATCACTTGAGCTCGTTTTGCTCTGAAGCCTTGAAAGTTGCTTCGTATTCTGTTCTTTTTATAGGTGTAATACCTTCCTGTATCACAGGACTCTGAGTATAAATTTAGCAATGCTTACAATGCAGAATCATTCTTCATTTTTTAGGCATCCTTAAAATTACCCTTGAAATAAGTATGAGCTTTCCAGTACTCATTGTTAAGATCCTTGTGTGATGTGAGTATATTTTAAAATGAAGGCTTAGCTACAGTCTCTTCTATTAGACCTGTGTACATGCCCTAGGGACCAATAAGAAATTACCAGCATAAAGACTTGTCTGTTGTCATGCATCTCTCTCTTTTTTTGTTAAGTGTGGAGGAGGAGACACTATACGCTATTGTTGTGTATAGTACACATAACACACCATCCAGATTAAATACCTCCTACCAGTGAATTTCATGTTTCTTTTTTCTCAGTCATCCCAGAAAACTTTAATGAGGGAGATGTGTAAGGTTTTGCAGATGGGCTTGTCAAAGCCTCGTTAATGTTTGGCATTGTTAAAAGTGAAGTACAAAATTATTGGACGGCGTGGGTTCTGGATCTGCTATTGAAAAAAGTATTTTGTACGTGGGCTAGATCATGATCTGAGGTTTCTTTTTGTTCAAATGACGGGAAGAAGCAAGAGAAACCCGACAGCGCTCCCAAAAGAGGAATTACTATTTTGATCATGGAAGTGTATTTGAGGAAAGAAGGAATGCTTCAGTGGCAGCCATTGCTGAGGGTTTATTCCCTTCAAACCCCTAGTCTGTCTTTTTCTCTATTCCTGGGTTCTAGGACTCAGCTGAAAACCAAAGGAGGCCCTGAGAGGGAAGAAAGCAAAAGGAGAGTAAAATCTGCCTTTGTCTTTTGCAAAGTGCCATGATTAATTTCTTTTTGATTGTTTACACAAAGATTACATGAAATTCTGAAAACTCTGAATTGTTCTTTAAAATCCAATAATAAATTATTACTAACTGTGCATACAGTGCTATGAAATCTTTTTTTGTTTTTAAATAGAAGATTGACATTTAAATACATTTGCAATTCCTGAGCCCAGAAAGGGAAGCTGAATTTAATGTGGGAATCTTTTGGTAGATGAGGTTTAGTTTTCTTCAGCTGATGGTTCCTCCTCTGTAGATGACGTTTCCCTCGTTTTGAGGGGTTTTCAGTGACCTTGTCTTACATCCAGCAAAGTAAGTGTTAAGCACAACCTCTCTGTGGGTATCTGAGTCTTAACGAAAGAATCAGAACTAAATATGTTCTCATCTTCTTTATTGTCAGGCACTCTAAATCTTCATTTTTCTTCCTATCTTGCATTGTTTCTAATGAAAGCATAAGCTGTTAGAAAAGATTTAGGATACGGCAGCGATGGTACTGTTTGACAGATTACACAGGTTTTCTCAAGCTATTTTGGCAGTTCGGTTTCCAGATATCTGGAACATCATGGGGAACAGTTGACTTCTGAATGCTGGAGTTAAGGAGGCAGCACTTCAGTGTCATGGGCATAAATTCTGTGACTATAAGCACTTGCAGAAAAGGTAGCTTTATATTTAAAGCGAATAGTTTTGCATTTCTTTCCTCAACCTGGTGGTGGTGGAGAAGCCTCTGCAGAAAAGCGAGGAGTCTGTTTTAAAGGCTGGGCTTTTGAGCCCTTTGAAAACTTGGCCCCAGGTGGTTTTCATTAGAATGGCAAATTCATGTCTCAAAGAATGGTATTCAGGAACCTGCCGAACAGGCCAAGCTCTGCCCTCAGATTTCAGTGGGATTGCTTAGAGCAGTTGAGCTTTATCATATACAAGTGCCAGGAGGGTAGAGGTTTCCCAGAAGCAGAAGGTGTGGTTGGAATTCAATCCTTCTGCAATCACTGCTCAGCACTAGGGGCCAAAGTACTGGAAACCTCTCTGCTCGTTTTCCTGTTGAGGATATATACAAGGCTACTGGAGTGGCACAAATTGGCTCTGGTTCAACTTCACTGGTCCTTCCAGCAGCTGGATTTTCCAATGCTCCATAGAGAACAAAAAATGTAGAGGTATTTGCTTGGGGTTTTTATTCTTTTTCCCCTCTCAGTTGTGCTTCTACAGAGGACTTGATGGACTTGGGTGGTCTTTGCAGAAGTATCATTGTAAGAAACTATTACCAGTCATGCTATCAGTGCACCAGAATTTATAATCTGAAGGTTGGGTTTCCCGTTAAAGGTGCTGTGTGTGGCTAGTAACGTATTTTTTTCCAGATGAAATGTGTGGAATGTGTTATAAATACTCTCTAAGCACTCAGATGTTTCAGTGTGCTTACTGCCAGTTTTCAGAGATGCCACTTTTTGTACAAGGTATTTGTCTTTAGGAAGAAGGGTATGACATGAGCTTGGATGGGAGATCTGGAGGGGTTGTTTGTACCCAGCATTACTTGAACTGACGTAAGCCTTGCTGCTTTTATGCATGTTGACAAAATCTGAAATCATTTCAAAAACCTGCAGAACCTGCTAGGTCTCTGCAGAACAAAGGTGACAAAAGGCTTTTGCAGAAGCAACATTTTACTGACACTGCTGTCTTCCTCTCCACAGCCAGTGGTTTAGTGTACTGAGTCAAGTCCATGCATCCACAGAGCAAGAGATCCGAGAGATGCATGATGAGCAGGCAAATCCACAGAATGCTGTGGTAAGTCTAAATCTGAAGAACTTTTCAAAGCAAGTATTTTTAGAAAACAAGGAGCACTGTGGTGGCCACAGCTTCTGAGAGTCACAACCTAGGTTTCCTTAAACATGGTGGTAGCTGTGACACTGGCTAGAGGCTCCATGTCCTTGACCCTGTAGCTATACAAGAGGAGAGTCTGATTTCTGGTTCCTCTCCCATCATTCACCTTGATGAAAAATGAGTCTTGGTTTTGGGGGTGTGTTTTTCTGGTCCGGTTCCCTATCACACCACAGTGTATACTTGAGTTTGAAGTTTTGCAAAGATACAGTTAATGAGTAAATTAAAAACCCAAGAGTAGAAAATCTGAGATTTCTCTGGTCCTGCATTTATCATTCTGTACAACATACACTGGGAATAATTGGGATAAATTTGGAACCTAATATCAAGCAACGGAAAGTAAAAACTTCTGCTTAATGGCTTCAGAAGTTTGTTCTGAGAGGATGCCATTTATATTGGGATGGCACTTTTAGGTGAAAAATTCAAGCAGGTTTAGAAGCATAGAAAAATAAGAGCAGTTTTTGAGCTGCCTCCAGCTTAACTAGAGATAATCTTTTACTGGATCTATTTATCTGAGTCTCTTAGTTTTCCCCTCAGCAGTTTTAATGGTTATGAGAAACTGTTGCCCAAATCTGCGGTTCATTTTGCTTAATCAAAGCTACTGCTCCTTTCACCTGTCTCTGAGAAGAGTAGTGTGAGTAACGTAATAGTAAATGTCTTCCTCCTCTTCTGCTTGGATATTTGTTTATAGGGTACACTCGATGTAGGACTAATTGATTCTGTCTGTGCTGCTGACAATCCAGATAGGTAAGTCAGAACCATGCCTGGTGACTTTCTTTCTTTTTCTCCTTTCTCTAGCCAAAATCGGATGCTTTATACTTTAGTCTTTATATTCTACTGACCAACCATGCATTGAAGTGATTCATTACTGCCTCCCTTTTCATAGTACTAAACACCACATGTTAAAACACGGAATAGGAATGGCAGTGATTTTTGTGGGGGCTTCACTAACTTCCCTGTCGCTGCTTCATAGATGAACTGTTCAGCTACTGAAGTGATCCAAAAGTTTAAATATTAAAAGTTTAAATATTAAAAGTTTAAATATTAAAAGATTAAATATTTCTTTCATTTATACAAGTAATGCTCCTGAAAAACAGCAGCTTATTTTTGAGTCCTTTAGCAATATAGTAGGCAGAAAAATTAATTTTAACATTTTTCTGTTCAGCTTCTCATGCAAGAATGTTGTATTCTACAGGGATGAGAATTATTTCCCGGAATAAAAATGTCTTATAACAAAGAACACAATGCAGCATAAAAAATAACCATCAGGATATTCTTAGTTCTTGAACAAATAATAGTCTTTTGGGGGATAAAAAGTAACCTGGGTTCAGGCTGTGACTCTGGTTATAATGTTACTGGCTGTGAGGTATTATTTGTGCTGTAGGAGTTCATTCCAGTCTCCTCATTGCACATGTGTGAAACAGCTGAGTTTAAGTTACTGGTTTGTCCTTGGCCCGCCAAGACACTGATACCACAAGTAACTGTGATTATAAGCCCAGGTTTCCTAAACAATACAACACAAATGTGCAGAGCTTTCAAAATTTCAAGTTAGAAAGGCATTTCTCCTGCAAGCATTTTTCACACAAACTTTTTTTCTTGTAATTTCTTTTTTTTAGTTCTCTGAGTCTAAATCAATGATAGAATGTTTTTCAATTAGGAAACAAATTTGACTAATACAGGCAATAGATTATTTTTATTTTGACACATCTGAACATATTGCAAGCTCAAAAGAGGGAAGCTGAGCAGAGAGCTCTTTGAATCTGTATTCAGAAGGAATCCCAGGAACGGGACTTCTGTTATTTTCCTAAACTGGGGAGGAGGAGAGGGGAGCCTGGAAGGTCGGCTACTGTTTGATAGCTTGATCTACCTTAGTTTATACCTTAGCGCTCTCCTTTTTCTGTTCTCTTGCTACAACTCATCTATAGCTTCTGTCCTGTATATCACATTATCCAGTTTTCTAGAGTGTGCTTCATGTAGCTCAATCTAAAGCTGCCTCCTCTTCACACATTTTAAAACACGGTCAACAAAATTCTTCTGTTCAGTTCACATGCCCTTTCACGCTTCTTTCCTCATCCACCACTCTTCCTGAATAACGTAGCACTTCAGCACCACAGTGAGACTGACCAAAACGTTGGATTCTGATCACTCCCTTAGCCCCTTCTATGGCACTGGTGAGCACTAGCTGTAGGTAACTCCCAGATAACTTTTAAGGTAACTTACACACTTCTCATGTTACTTGATTTACTGTAACCTTCCTTCACACAGTTTTCTAATTTTTTCTCGTAATCATTTCATTTACTTTCTTCTTTATCCTGCCATCCATCTAGCTTTTATATGGCACACACTGTTTTTGGAGAATGGTATCATATTTGGGTGAACTCTCCATCCCCATAAACAATTTTTTGATTTGTTCTAATTTCTACCCAGTTACCTTCTTGCAAGAACTGTAAAAGGAAGGCCGCCCATGAGCTTCTCGTGCATGGGGTGGCCCAGACTGCATCATTGCCATTTTCTACATCTGATACAGTTCTTAAAAACTGTGTGTGTTCCAGGATGAAAAAATTAATGGTAAAGGGTTAAAGCAAGTGTTTGTAGGCTGAAAAACCTGCCTCTCTAATCCAGAGAGCCATCAGCACAGTTCACTTGGGCTAGTTCTTCATGCTTCAGTGAATCCTGGTGTAGGATTGGGTAAAAGCCAGTCTCTCATTAAAAATAGATTGTACTCTCTGCGAATTGGGTTGCACTGCATTAAAAATAAAAGAATCTGTGTTCACATGCTGCTTCACTGTAGACCTTTGTAAGTTGTAGTTGGTTTTAGCTAATGTAACTACTGAAGCAGACACTCTAAATAGATCTGACCCTGAAACAGAGTTCTGATTCACATCCAAAGCTGATTAAAGATTGGAGATTTTTCTCACCATAGATTTATTTTGAGATAGGACAAGTTGCAATTTAATATAAACTTTCCCACCATTCAGAGCCCTAGCACTTTGGTGTGAATCCAACATAATTGAGTCTTTTCAAATGCTTATTTTTTTTAGGTTTAGCGGTGTTGAAATAAATGCTTTAGAGGTGGACAGTATTTTTCTGAATAGAAAATGCAAACAATGGACAGTGTTTATGGTTACGGTGAGTGAGGTAAACAGTACATATGTTGATTGTAAAGGCTTTTTCAATCTTCATTTATTTTCATAGACCCAATTCATTTGTGATCATCACCGCTAATCGTGTTCTTCACTGTAATGCTGACACTCCTGAAGAGATGCATCACTGGATAACCCTGCTCCAAAGGTCGAAGGGGGACACTAGAGTGGAGGGACAAGAATTCATTGTGAGGGGTAAGAACAGAGTGGAGCAGTAACAAAGTAATTAACATCCATTAAGCTTCGAAGCGATTGTTCCCACAATACAATCTGGGTAATATGCTAGCATTGCGTGGCAGTGTTGGAGCCTCATCTTTGTACAGTTTACTCACACATTAATACAGTGTAATTATATTCCTGCTATGCCATGTAAGAAAACAGTGTAATGATGACAAAAGCATTTTTGTAAGTTGACAAAAGAATTTTTCTAGGTAAACACCAAAGTTGAAAAGTTTGCATATTAATTTTATTATATCTTCGTCATTTTATTGTTTGAGAATTTTGCTCAAAGTTGTTTAATAAGTGGGCTAAACAATTCACATCATATTTTTGCTGTTGTTGAAAGTATACAACTAACGTTTAACAACCTGATTTTGTCCAACTCTGTTTAAAAAAAAAAAAGTGTGATTCAAATTGTGTCTTTAACAGGATGGCTACACAAGGAAGTAAAGAACAACCCAAAGATGTCTTCATTGAAACTAAAGAAGCGTTGGTTTGTTTTGACACACAATTCTTTGGACTACTACAAGAGTTCGGAGAAAAACGCTTTGAAATTGGGTACGCTGGTCCTGAACAGCCTCTGCTCTGTGGTCCCACCTGATGAAAAAATCTTCAAAGAGTCAGGTAATTGTTTGCTCTTGTTCAAATATGCTTTCAGTTGCCTTCTGTCCTACTACCTAGTAATGCAACAAACAGTGCATAAGAATATTTTAAATGGATTATTATGTTTGCAGTTTGATGAACAAATTGAGTTTCTAAGTCACTGAGGCATTTTACAGGGAATTTCTGGGCAAAAAACAAAGGTAATAATGTGTACAGGAGTAAATCTTGTTCTCACCGACGTTCAAGTTATTGTAGACTCACACTGCTGCTAAGTTAGTGTGAACGCTTATGCTTACACATCAAAGACCTGGGGAAAGACATATGGTAGCACTCTCCTCATACATTATTTTATGTGCTGAGGAACTATGAGGACTGACATTGGTGGAGCAAGTGTAGGGAGATCTAGAGTAAGAGTCCAGTTTGTGCTAACCTACATACTACAGCTGAGTCAGCTCCCCTGTGCATTTTCAAAACTGGTTTTCAACTTGGAATTGGCCGTTTGCAAATGAGAAGCGACTGTTGACAGCCCTATATAATCTCATTGGGGTCACTGACACTTCAAAGAGGCTTTCGCTAGTGGGAGATTAAATAGATTTTCTTTAATTGAATCTGCTTTATAAAAAGCCTATACAATGATGCAGAGAGAGAATTTGAACTGAAATGCTCTTCCTGTCATAGTTGCCACTCCATTGGTGTAAAATTAATGACTTTTTTATGGAAGAGCTTTATACCTGTTTGTATGTGTGCCACAGGTGATGAAAGACTCTCACATACAAAGCAAGGCTGCGTCAGATTTTCCTGTTACAGACAGGACTGGAGAAATAGGGCCCACAAGCCACAAGTAGTTAACAGTATTCCATAGTGTTGTCTTATGGTCACTTTTACTAAGATTACTGGATAAAATGGGAGGCTGCATGATGGTGGCTATGCTCTGAGATTACTCCTAGGCTTTTTTAAAGGAGAGAGTCTCCTTTAATACCATAGTATCTGTATTATGATACTTAATTACTCACACAACTTCTTAGTTCCTGAAGAACTGCCAGCATGATCCAGAGTGCAGCACTCAGGGTCTGATGGGACTACAGCTGTTTTCAGATAGGAGTTGGGGTATTTTTATAGATACAGCTTCTATGATTCATTTTTACTGTTAATTAATTTTTACTGTTGTGCTAGGTTATTGGAATGTAACTGTATACGGACGCAAACATTGTTACCGTCTCTATACAAAATTGCTTAATGAGGCGACCCGCTGGTCAAGTGCCATCCAGAATGTGATTGACACAAAAGCGCCAATTGATACTCCAACTCAGCAGCTTATTCAGGATATTAAGGTAGGCGCAGTCAGGAGGGCGTTGGGTGGGAAAGAATGGTTGCTGAAATATTTGAAATCAGTCTCTTTTTTATATTGGCTTTGCCAGATGGGGTAATAAAGCAGAAAATGCAGGGTTTTAATCACACAGTGACATGGACTGAAATTGTGGAACTTGAATGTATTCACTGACCTGATAAAGGAATTTCTGTCTAAACAGTAAAAAAGCAAAGTATGAAGTGCAACTTGGAGGGCAAGAGGGGTAACTTTTTTCCATGAAAACAGTAACAGGTTTTACTGGTTTGTGTAACTTGACAGACATTGCTATACCAGGCAGTAGAGCGCAATGTGCAGGTTCATGAGTTAGCAGACCTGTTTGGCTATGCCCACAGTGAGCAGCACACCAGGACGTGGACTAGACAGATCTTGTGATTTTTTTCATTATGCTTCATTTCTTGTTCTGTAATAGCACAGGCTAAACATCTCATGTCTGTGCGTGATGAGAAACATATTCAATTAATGCTTACTGCTTTATGGTCCTGTGGGAGCCATTGCATGCATAGCCAGAGAATGTATTTCTGGAGATTTTGCTAATCTGCTTTCAGGAGAGAGGATGATGATTCTCAGAAAAATCAAAAAAAAAAAAGAAAAAAAAGCATCAAGTCCTAAATTCCTATGAAGTAAGGAAGACTATGAAGGCTGGTCTTCAGAGCAGTAGAAATATGTCGAAGTTCAGGATTAATAGAAGACAGTGGCGACGCATCTGTCAAGCTTGACCTAAGAAAGAACAGTATTTAGATGTGAGAGTAGGTGCATCAGGTTTACAGCAGCAGTTTTTCTGGACTGTTACGGTAGCTCCTGTAGATTCTAACTGAAAAGGCCAATTAGTTATGTTGGAGAAATATTTTTAAATAAAACTGAATACAGATGTCTTAATTCCAGTTACGAAATACTGGAGTAAAAATGATTGTAAAATGAAAACATGCTTCAAAAAATTGCATGAAACTTCATTTTTGTATCCTGCAGCTCTGCTGTGGTTTGTTTTTCACTGCACAGATAAAGTAAGCTTATGCAAGGCCTGAGGTTAGCAGATACTGAGCATTCATAGCCTGCAGAGTGCCATGGGAGCCACAGTACCCACAACTGCATTTAGCACCAAATAGTGTTGGTAACACTGATGACTAATTTTTTCACATCCAACCTAAAGGCACAAAGCATTGCATTACTGTTAATGCTGGACCCCAAATCCTGCTTTTTTCTTACCCCAATAGGAAAACTGCCTGAATGCTGATGTGGTTGAACAGATTTATAAGAGAAACCCTATTCTCCGTTACACTCATCATCCGTTGCACTCGCCATTATTGCCATTGCCGTATGGGGACATCAATCTAAACCGTAAGTTTTTCAGTCATAGAAACACTTTTTCTTATGAAAGACTAAACCAGAGGATGGGAGTTTTTAGTCAATGGGCTATAGTGAAGTAATGGTAGACAAAATATATTTTTATAATACAAGTAGATACATTTCCCTGTTCTCTTTTGGGACGTAGAGAATAGCAGTTTGTCTAGCATAGAACCATGGGCTTGTGGTGCTCCTGTACGGGTGTTACAGAAGGGAAGGTTGCTATTGCTGCTGTAATACAAGTTCTTTGCCCTCACCAGCGCAGTTAAGACCACCAGGTTTGAAAAACCTTGCACTGAAATAAGCAACTAAACCCAATTCATTTAGTCTCCTTGAATCATATTCTCCTTCTCAAATTACTGTTGTGTCCTACCTCATGAGGGGAGCTGCAGCAGCCACAACTTCCAATTAACAAGTGTAAGTTTCATCAGTTGTGATGGGAAGCATTATTTCTGTGAAACAAGATTTGAGTGGACATTATTCTAAAAAGTAATGGGTCATTTACTCCTGAAACAGGTATAATCATGTCTTTTAATATCCTTGGCTCAATCACTAACTTAAGTCTGTTTTGAATTAATGGTTCGGAGCTATTGATGGTTGTGAATTTGGTGTCCTTAAATGGATTTGCTTATCTTATTTTGCAACTGCATGTTAAACAAGATGTGACTCAGATCAGAAGTTTCATCCTTGGAAGGAGGGTGGGAGGTCACAGTTTATGAAAAGCTAAGGTATTTCAGGTAAGACTTCCTGATAACTCAAGTGATATCCTTCTGTTCAAATGACAAGGAAAAGGAAAATCCGAGGAGAAACCTTTCCCTTCTCTTCCCCTTCCTCCTCCTCCTGTACAGTGGCAAGGCACAGTTCTGATCTTCTTGGCACTTGAGCTGGTTTGTCCCATGCAGGAGTGCAGCATGGTTGCTTTCTATTCCCTGGACAGGAATGGCTTGCTCCCTCTGAAGTAGAAGTCTTGCCAAAGTCTTCCCATAGCAAATGTAGCTCCACAGATGCTCAGTTATTGCCTTGATTTGCAGTTGAGTTCTAGTTATTTTCTGTAATGGTATAATGTCAGGTTAGAAACTTTATATTCATAACATATATCCGTACTGTTTTGTGCTTTGATGGTTAGTAGGCCTAACTGATTCAGACATCAGAGCAATCTCTTCCATCTCTTGAACCCAAGAACTGCATGGTGCTTTTAAGTAGATTGTGAAAGTTGTTAGCCCACGCTGAATAACCTGTAGTACAAAAACTATCACCACCTTTTCCAGCACTCAAAAAGCAAGTTGCAGTTTCATGGCAATGATTTAGTTCAGTAGTATTGTTCGTGTTTAATTGAAATGCTACTGCTGTAGACAGAAGTGATGCCCTGTATCTTTGTCACTTTCCATAATGCAGTCATGCTTTACCTCATTTATGATCTGATTAGATTTTCACTTTCTGGTGACAGCGAAAATTGGTGGACGCCTCAGCAGTGTGGATTGCTCTGAAAGGAAGATTCTCCATCAAAAAAACTCTGATCAAGCAAGATACGCATTTTAATTTATGCTGTCAGAAAATTTAAAATAGGATTTCATTAAATTTGGATCAAATCTCAATAGCAAAATAGTTCATAAAATGAGTTTGCAAAAAAATCCATTGTAATATCCTGCATAATAAGGGTCACAGAATAACATTAAGCAATTCCTATGTTAAGCCTGAGTGCTTTCTCTTTCATATCTCAGTCTAAGCACCTTTCTCCATATTTTTCTTTTGTAGTGCTGCAAGACAAAGGCTACACAACTCTTCAGGATGAAGCCATCAAGATATTTAATTCTTTACAGCAGCTGGAGTCCATGTCTGATCCCATCCCTATAATCCAAGGTATCCTCCAAACAGGACATGATTTACGACCTCTTCGAGATGAGCTCTACTGTCAGCTCATCAAGCAGACCAATAAAGTGCCTAACCCTGGGAGCGTGGGGAACCTGTATAGTTGGCAAATACTCACCTGCATGAGTTGCACATTTCTGCCGAGTCGCAGCATCCTCAAATATCTTAAGTTCCATCTCAAAAGGTGAGAAGCTTTGAACTACTACAGCAAGAAAAGAAGTTTCTTCACTCGCTGTTTTCTTCCCCACAACTTGTAACAGAGTTTAAACATTTTTAAGTGAGACTTGAAGACGAGTTCGCTTTGTGAACTGGTGATGCCAAACAATGACTCTAAAAAAAATGTTGTACGAAAAGCATGTATGGGTTGATCTAGGCGGGATTATCCTCATTTGAAGAATCAAGCAAAATCCCGCTAAACTGAGTGCATAATTTGTTAACATTGACCAATGCGGGGGCTTTCTGTAATTGTATAAAGTTGCTTAAATGATTTGCAGCCAGTACCCCAGGTCCCATTCTCAACTGTCCAACCCGCTAAAAATTCTTCATCTTGCTTACCTTAGTTTTGTGAGGTCATGCACATAAAAAAACATTAGAAAGTTTAAAGATGTATTTGAGATAGAAACGTCTGTTTGCAAATCTAATTTTAAGACATTAGTGACCGTTAAAAAAGAAACAAATCCTTTTTGACAGTTCAGCATTAACCAGAATGTAGAGTTCCTCTTGTTGTGGTACAGCAGAAGAATGCAAAGAGCGTGTCATTAGGAAAGTTAGTCTACTAACAACAAACTGTTCTCAATAATTTAAAAGTCATGCCTGTGTTTGTGCTAGAGCATGGACTTTGTAAATCCCTTTGTTAAATGTAATTATTTTATAAATATTTGTAAAATGCTTCTAATGAAGATATACCTTTCAACCAAAGTAAGATTAGTGAAACACATGAATCACTTCATATAACCGTTAAAATGAAAAAATCCAACATTAATTCACTTTCTTAATTTAACTCAGTTCATAAACTGGTCTCCCAGTTAAAAAAATTGCAGCTGATAACAACATTTATAGGTTGGTTTCAGTATTACAGATGCATAGTCATCTTACAGTATTGCTGTAATCCTGCAGTAATCTTTTTATGCCTTGTAGATCATGAATCACTGTACTTCACATAAATTAAACCTTAGTAGCTCTAAGAAGCTGGTATTTTATCACTGGAAATATTATAGAAACACTGTGCTGAAAGCTACCTGAATTCAACACTTTTCAATAATTAAGGGTTGAGTTCATTAAAGTTGTTAGTGAATACTCTTAATACTAACTGCTGAACAGTAAGGTCTAGATAGAATCTTTAAGAAAATCAGGAATAGAAATCAAGTATCCCAAGTGACACTACCACAAAACTAAGCAGTCAAAAATATGTTTTATTGCTTTTTTCTGAGGTACCTTGGTGCAGTTTTGTCTGTTACTGACAAAAAGGGGAGTTGATTACAAGAAGATTTTTATAGTTATCTTGCTGTCAAATCCAAGTCGTTACAAGGTTCTGGTAGTTACTGCTATGAAGGTAGTTAATTTTTCGCTTTCCATTAGGTTTGTAGAACAAAATGATGAATGCAAATAAGTTGTCCCACAGTAAATCACAAGTTGGTACACTTTCCTTGACAGTGAAGATAAACCTTTGAGTGTGTCAATTAAATACTGGATACATAAGCACTTCCAGGAAAAAAATCCATTCTCAAACAAGTCAACTTTCTATTTCACGGACTGGCAGCTTAAAGTGATAATATTTATCTCACAGGGTTCGTGACCAGTTTCCAGGAACTGAAATGGAGAAGTATGCGCTTTTTACTTACGAATCGCTGAAGAAAACCAAATGCAGAGAGTTTGTGCCATCGCGAGATGAAATAGAAGCTCTGATCGGCAGGCAGGAAATGACATCCACAGTTTATTGCCATGGTGGGGGCTCCTGTAAGATTACAATCAACTCACACACTACAGCTGGAGAGGTGAGAAGTGGTGACAGAACGGCTTTGGTACAAAATCAGTGTGTCCCTTTACATGCCAGTTCCAGCCAGTAGTAGCGTTAAGCTTTGGAAGCGCTGGGGGTTTCTCTGCTGGTCTCTCCTTTCAGGGGAGGGAAGGTTTACAGAGCTGTCCCTCAACCCCACAGCGTATTCTGAAGAAATCCCTGCTATAAAAACTGTCTTCACGCTTTAGAGGATTACCCAACTATAGTTCCCTCTTACAGGAAAAATTACAGGAAAGACTAAGCAATTCAGTAGAGCCATTATTGGAATAACTTCAGTAGATATTGGTGGTTTTGAGAACCAAGTTGCTTCCTAAAGCTGGAAGACTCTTGCTGAGTTGCTGAAATACAGGGGCTATATCTGGCCAGGTGATAGCACACACATATTCTAAAAGAATCAGCATTATTTACTATAAAAAGTAAAGCAGAATTGGACAACAATTAATACTGCTGTTGAGAATATGTTAGCAACATTTTTAGTCTAATGTAAAACCTAGCTCTGAATTTTCACTCTGTGGTGCACTCTGTGGTGCTGCTTTTCCATGCTATGGCTTTTTCACGTGCTGTTTTTCATTAGGTGGTTGAAAAGTTAATTCGTGGCTTGGCCATGGAGGATAGCAGAAATATGTTTGCTTTGTTTGAATACAATGGAACTACTGATAAAGCAATTGAAAGCAGAACCATTGTGGCTGATGTCTTGGCAAAATTTGAAAAGTGAGTGCACCTCTCCTTCTCTCTCACCACTCTAATAAGTAGCAATTAAATAAATTTCCAACGTCAATAATGCTGAATTTTCTCTTTCTCTTGCTTGTTTGTGATGACGCAGCTGAATTACACACATGGCCATTTCAGGAACAAAAGCATCTTTATTTTTTTTAATGAGCCACCTATTCACTTGTGTTTGGTTTTCCTCTGTCTTGACACCAGTAGAGTAATATTTCTCATCACTATTTCCACATTTTCTTTTCCACTATTACAAATTTTTCCACCATTACTAGCATTGTGGCTGCCCCAGTACTAGGAGAACTGAACTCCAGGCAGTCATTGCCATTCTGACTTCCCGTTGCCTAACTTCACGTGGAAGTCACCACAGTGCAGCTCACAACATTTTTCTTACCAGTAGAATTGAAACCACCCATAGCACTGTAGTAAGAAAAGGTAATACAAGCCTAAATACCTGTTTGTCATCCTTATGTTACATACATGGCAATCAGCCTCATTTATCCACATAATAATGGGGGGAAAAAAAGGAATGTCTAAAGTTACATTTTATAACAGGACTTAATAATGTTGCTTTTATCAACACCTGACTGAGCCACAAATAGAAGTTTATTAAGAGAATTTGGCTTAGAAACAGTTGACTGAGAACTGATTCAACATTTTTAAGTCCTTGATGTTGCTGTAGGCTTTAAATACACACACACACACCCTCTCTATATCTCTATATATATTATCTCCAAATTACATCAGTCAGGTATACTACTGAAAACAATTAGCTCCTGTCAACAATACCAGATTAATAGCAGGTGTAACAAAGCAAAATTCAGCTGATGCCTTGCTTAGATTCTTCAGGTGTCAACTTAGAAAGCAGTTTGATTTCACAGATCTGATCTTCTCTCCCTCTTCACACACCCGTGCAGGCTTGCTGCCACTGCTGAAGCTGGAGAGATGCACTGGAAGTTCTACTTCAAGCTCTACTGCTTCCTGGACACAGAAAACGTCCCAAAAGATAGTGTGGAATTTGCCTTTATGTTTGAGCAGGTAAAGGACAAAGGTTCCATTTTGAGGCACTTTGAAGAGGAGGAAAAAAGCAAGAGATCTAGGCAGCACAGAGAGTTTTGATTATGCTTCTGTTTAACTAAATGTACTACTACTCAAGCATCAAGCAAAGAAAGCAGTTCAGTGGTCAAAATAGGCTTATCCTGACATAAGTGAAGCACATCTGATTTACCTAGTGTTATGACTTTTCTTACTTCTGCATTACTTGTGAATTGCTTTATATATAGTGATAAAAAATTGGATAACTGGGTCTAAGCTGGATAAAAAAGAAAAGGATAATGCTTGCTTTTAATTTTGCTCTTATGAAACCATTTTCTTAAGAAAGTGCAAGAAATAAAGTGAAAAATGTGTAATTGGCAAGCAAATTAATTATTAGAGACCCATGTTGGCAACTGTACAGAACTAATCGAACAATAGCTTTTTCTCTTTTCAAAAACTGATTGGTATTTCATAGGCACCATAGTAAAACAAATCAGTCCAGTCACAGCAGTTACGGTAAGACAGCTATGATGAGCAGAAATCCACTTAATGAATGTGCTGAGCTCAGAAGGAGGCCATATTGCAAAACATAAAATAAGTGAAATTGATTTATAATGAAAATTTAATGCGTCAGCAGTTGGATTTGTAGTCTATGAAGTCCTGTAGTTGCTCAGAAACTCTCACTGATGGCATTTATTATTGTTGATTGACCTTCTCCTTTTCTACTATATTGAAAATGGCTAAAAATTCTTCCAGTGGACAGCTTCTTTCAAGTGGGCACCAGAGACAGATAAAGATTTCTGTGTAAGGCTATTTGCAATGCCAAGACACTGATGTTCTGTTGGTAAGCAAGCCTGATGTGATCAAGAACTGACATATTTCAATTTTCATATGTATGAAGCTTTTTCCCCTTCCACAGAATCAGAAACATCTTCGCTGTAATAGAGTATTTCTTCCTTGTTCACAGTTTAGGTTTTAAGGCACCGTATTACATCGTGAGTCTACCAAAAGTCTCCCTCCAGAGCCTACTACTGTAGCTCAGTCCAGAACTGCTTACTGCTGGCTGAAGGATCTGGGCAATAGATTGCCTTGGTTGGGCTTAGAAACGTTGCCATTCTGACTGTCTGTCTGGTTTTACATATAGAGAAGTCAGCCAGTTAATGCCTCTGCTTTGGGATGAAGTTTAAACAGTAAGAAGAAAATCCATGAGAGCTCTGCATCAGATATTTACATTACATTACTGGTTTAAGAGGCAGATTTAGACAGTTTTCCGTCTAACAACTAAAACAAGCACATTCACTGAAGCAGATTGTTTCCATGCAGCATTCTGTGCTGACTGGTGTTTAGCCAAGCATTTTATGTCTTGACAAGACCATTAGTATTTCAGTTATAAAGCATGGCACATTCAATCCCTACAATTAATATTACAGCAATACCTTAAAGAGGTGACTTACTACATTCTAACATCAGTTCTGTTCTTTTTTCCTAATTGTCTGCTTTTGATGTTGGTCATTGACTTTTTTCAGCCAATTAAGAAAGTTCTCTTTTGTGATCAGTTTTAGTTCTGTAACCTCCATTATTTTAAAGTCTGAATCCTTTAATTCATAAGGCGCTGAAGAAAATCTTTTAGTTCTTCTTTCTCATTAAAATAGTGTCCTTCCATTTCCACAAGACAGCTCTTTCTTCTGCATGTGTACATCTTGCACGTTTAAAGGCACATTTTGTCTCCTTCCTAAGCGTACACCTAAATGAACTAGCACTTACTTAGATGTGAATTCTCTCTGTGTGTTTACTAAACTGCTTGCAATTCCTGCACTTCCAGACATGAGGCGTGTTTGTTTCCTGTACTGGTGACATATGAAAAAAACGAATCCTAACTGCTGCACATTTCCAAAGGTTTGAATGGGTGTGCAAAGAGTTAGGATTTGAAAGAGTCTTCTTGGTTCAGAATCTCATCCCTGATGCTACAGACCACTGTATCATATAAACATTTTACTAACTTTATCTGGGATCCATTGAAGAGTTACTGTTTTCCCTCAGTGGGGTTTATTACAAAGCTGTCCTAGGGCTTTGCTTGTTTGACTGGAAACATCAGTTTTCACAGCCAGATTATTGATAGCAGTAAGCAAAAACAGATATCCATTTCTTCCTAATGCCCTTGAACATAGATGGCTTCCTCCCAGTCAGGTGTTTCGATCTTGATTTTCTTCCCTTTACACTTCATTTTCCTTTTTAGTAATTCGGTTGCTTTTATATATGTGAGTTCACTAAGAGCCATACTAGTAATAGTAATTCCCGTTTAGCAAGTTCCTCAGTTGCCTTGCAGTTGTTCTGGTAAACCCTGTCTTACCCAGTTTAACAAATTTGCCAAGAGATTTACCACATTCGATTTATTTAATGGATCATTTATTTCAGATCCTGGGTTTGCCTGGCAGTAAATCTACTTCCCATTTCTCTCTTAGTCCTTTCAAAGACTGGTTTGTACATAAAAAGCTATCTTTTTCCCCCCGATAGGCTCATGAAGCAGTGATTAGAGGACATTATCCTGCTCCTGAAGAAACCCTCCAGGTCCTTGCAGCTTTGCGTCTTCAGTACCTTCAGGGAGATTACAGTCTGCATACCACCGTACCAGAAATGGAGGAAGTCTATCCCTTGCAAAAGCTGAAGTCCCGGATTACACAGTCTACCAAAACATTTACTGCAGCAGAGAAGGCTGAGAAGAAAAGAGCCAGCTTTCTTGAAGGAACATTGCGGAGGAGTTTTCGCAGTGGCTCTGTCAGCAAACAGAAGGTTGAGGAGGATCAGATGTTAGACATGTGGGTCAAAGAGGAAATCTCAGCTTCGAGGACTAGTATTATTGACAAATGGAAAAAACTCCAGAGGATGAATCAGGAGCAGGCTATGGCGAAGTATATGGCTTTGATTAAGGAATGGCCTGGCTATGGCTCAACACTCTTTGACGTAGAGGTGAGTACGACCTCCTGAACACTCAAACTAAGGTTTATACTGTATAGATGGTGGTTTCATTATAGAGTAGGGAAACGATAAATAATGGTATCACAATGCTCAGACAGCTGATGTAATAAAGTGTTTGATATTAAAAGCATATTCCCATTAGTAAGCACTGTAGGCATTTAAATCCACTAGTTAACCATAAAATAGAGGGACAGAATGCTAAAATACAGAGGGACAAAATGCTAGCCTGATGGGTTGCAAACAAGTTTAGGAGAAGTGTAAAAGGCTACGTTCAAAGAGGGACAAGCAATATGCACTTTTTAAAAAATGGTTACAGACAAGAACCTCAACAGTAAGTGTTGTGTGGCTCCCGCTATTCCCTTTGCAGCTAATCTACATTTTTTCCTCTAGTGTAAAGAAGGGGGATTCCCACAGGAGTTGTGGCTTGGAGTCAGCGCTGATGCAGTTTCTGTCTACAAGCGTGGGGAAGGAAGGCCTCTGGAGGTGTTTCAGTATGAACATATCTTGTCATTTGGTGCGCCGCTTGCCAACACCTACAAGATCGTGGTGGATGAGAGAGAATTGCTTTTTGAAACTAGTGAGGTAAGAGCAAGAAGGAATTTTGTTATTGTGGTCTTCCTGTTCTGATAGCCAGGCTACTTAGTAATTTAAGTAATTGCTGCAAATGTTACAGATTTATTCAAGATCCCCGTAAAGCTAAAGGGAAGTCATAGTGAGATCGATAGAAGTGCTGAGTACTTTTATTCGTTTAACCACAGAAGAGTTTTGTTGAAAGCTCGACAGTTTTATATTGTTAGCATCGAAAGAAATTCATTCGCATACTGTTACCTTACTAAGAACTTCGATCTTTATACTCTTTTGGCAGGTGGTTGACATTGCAAAGCTGATGAAAGCTTACATCAGTATGATCGTGAAAAAACGCTACAGCACCTCTCGATCAGTGAGTAGCCATGGAAGTCAGGGCAGCTCCAGGTGAAAACAAAACCAGTTCTACTGTGCTCTAAACAGAACATATCGCTGCTTGGCCTCAAAATGACCTGATGACACTGATCACATCTGTTGACAAGCTAACAAAGAATCAGAGTTTCCATGGAAAATATCTTCAAACATTGTTTTAGAAAGACCACAGGGTGGGGAGGGGAAAATCAGCTGAAATAGTCACATACTAGAACTGCTGGCTTGTTCAAAACTTTCCAAAGCATTATTATCTTCAGTTGATGTAACAAATGCCTTAAGACTTGATCCACTGCAATACAAGCAGTAATAAGTGCCTTACAATATTAAACCCAACTTGTATTGACCTAAAATTGCCGATAAAAATCAAAAAGATTTTTTTTCTCCTTCCAGAACACTGAAAACAAAGTTATATTCATCCATTCTGCACTAATCTACTGGCCTGTATACATGTGGGAAGAGGGAGGGAAGAAGAGCAAGGTATATTTTTTTGGAGAGCTGCTGGCAGCCTTCCTCATGGATGCCAACATTTTGTTTCCCCTTCCTTCCATGGATGTGCACATTGTGCATGCGTATTTGAGCTGTCAGTAAAATTTGACTAATTTTATTCTGTATTTCACAAGTCTTTTGAAGCAAAGGGAATAAGTATGTGCAATGGTGTAAACAGTCTTTCTGTACATTTTAATAGTTCAGAGTTATAGTTGTTACAATTGTATGGTTACTTTATAAGCAGTTTTATTAACAAGTAAATTCCAAAATTTTCATACATTGATTTTACTATTGCAAATATGTATTACCATATAAGTAGCAGAAGTCTGCATTCTGTATCTGCTGTATTATAGAGAGAGATGTAGCTGAGAATATTTATAGACTACCCTAATATGGAAATACAGTTATCAGTTCAATACTCCATAATTCAGCTTAAGTTTTTAATATTAAATTTTTCTTTTAAAGACATCACTCTTTTATAATTCTGGCTGGACTCTCCAACCCAGACTGACTGCCAAAGGTCAGAGCCCTTCAGAGTTGACTAGAGAACGCAAAGTTATACAATGCAACTGCTTTAATATAGAGTTCTTTTTTTTTACCTGGTTGCCTGATGAAGGTTCTTGACAGTACCCTGTAAATAAATTGGGGAATATCAGCTAATAATAAGCTGATTTTGGACTTTTATTTTTGTACAGAAATACTGTAATATAAGGCAAAACTTTGATCAAAGGTATCTTTTTGTCCTCAGCAAAAGAAAGAAACCTGAAAAACCTTACTGTTATTAAAAACCTCAGCCTTTAAGGAATCATGCCTACTTACTAAAAACAAAACAAAACAAAAGGCCAGCAATAAAGAAAGTATATGTGATGCGCTCTGTTTCCACTTCATACTGAGTTGGAGTTGCAGCAAAGCCCTAATTTCTTCTGTCTTCTCAGGAGCCAAGCCAGGAACACAGTGTAGGCTATACATATGCTTTTGCTTGGAAAGGTGCACGTGCTTTGTGTTGTAATGGGGCAAGTTTCCATCTGTGATCACAACTACCTCCTTGATCATGTGATATGTGTCAGTCACACCACCAGGATAGAGGGGAAGGACTGCTGAGCAATTCCACTCCACAAGGAATGTGCAAGTAAAGCTTTTGCTATTTGTGTAGCCCTGTTGTAAGACAGCTTGTTTTTACTAGCCAGCCACAGCATGGTAATGGAGCATGCTCTGCCCTCGTAAGAGTACATGGCCTTTATAGACTACAAAGCTTGCTATGAGAAATCCTCCAACTTTTAGTCACTCCATCTGTGACACTGCCCCTCAGTCCCTAAAAACTTGCTAAATAACGCTTCTAATTTCGTGTCCCCACCCTCCCAGCAAAGGTGAACTTATCTAAGGAAGGCAAGAAAAATGAGAGAACTGTAACTCCAGTATGTACAGCTATACGCACACAGAGTATCTGCAACGTTTCTGATTTTTTCCATATGCAAGTTGTTTAGAAAGAACTTAGCTGCTCTTAGCAAGGCATCCTTGGAATGACACAATTTATACATTTCAGCCAGCACAGCAAGAAGGTTCAGTTTCATCTAGGTGCTGTTTGTAAATGTGCTCAGATAAGTTCCTGCCACATGGTCATCATTAATTGGTCAAAAAAACAGGAATATACAAGGTGACAGTCTTGTTCAGGGTCAGTCTTGAGAAGCTGACACCAATTCTCCAGTCCCAATTAATTTACCTCCTGACTGACTTCTGGATGCTATCAGCCATGAGTTTGCTCTTAGTCAATACACAGAAGTGCCTGTCACTAAGAGTACATCTAAGAGCTTCTCTTCATTCATGCCAATTCTACCAGCCTGCCATGCAAATCATACTCAGTAACTATTGTTGAGGCAAATAAAAGCTTTCATAATTGTTGATACTCAAAAGAAAGAACACACAGTTTATCAAAATAAATACTGCATAATAGAAAGTGAGAACAGTCTTCCTTAAATTATAAAATATTTTAAAATTGATTGAGGAGATGATCTATTCTTGAAAATTATTTTGCTTCCGTAAAAGTTTATTCCAAGAATACATGAAATTGCTAGAGCCAGAAATTCTCTCCTGCCTATGATCTCTTCTGTTACAGTAGCAGTTGAGTGTATCAAGAGGGGAGAGGAACTTCCATCACAAATCACAACACATTTTTACTTTTATTCTTGTTTTGAAGTAAAGGTTTATGTTTTCAAAAGAACAAACATTGTAGAAGCTTACCACTGCTTACAAAAGAAAGAGTAGATCTGTACTTCTGCACAAGCCACTGTATGGCAACTGCTACACTCTGTAGGTTGAGTGCATCAGAAATCACTAAGAACTGAGTATTAGAAGTTAAAGGGTTCTAGGAGAAGCACCATGCCTTGTCCAGTCCCTCTAGAGAGAAGGGTGTGGTCTTCAGGACTTGAAACTATCATGTATTTTCTGAGAGAATGAAGAGCAGTCATTCCTGCCCCACCACCGGGCTGCTCGGCTGACACAGCCCCAACACCTGACGGTTGTGGAGCCGCCCGCTGCCCGTCCCTGCCTGCCGGACACCAGCCCCCATCGCGGCGCTGCTGCTCGCTCCGCTCCGGGGCACCTGCGGAGATCTGCCACTCCTGGGCAGTTACACTGACCCTGACGAAAATCCTCTGGGGTGGGCACAGCGGCTTCCCGCGCCCACTGACTGCGCCTGATCGAATACAGCCATGGCGAGAAAAGGCCCGGGACCCATGTCCCGGGCTGGACATGCTGCGAGAGCACAGGCTGGGCAGAAACTGCACAGTCTGACCAAGGAACAGAGTGGCAGCTGCAACGGAAATAAAATTGTGTATCATCATCTTAGCACGCCTTAAAGCTGGCCATGCCTCAATTCCAACGATGTCCTCAGGCTTCAGTCTAGCACTTTCCCTGTGCCTCATAATACACATACAGCCATTTGTCAGGGTGCCAGAATTCTTAATAAACTTAATTACACAAGTTATGCACAGGAAATTGCTTCACCCAAGAAGTGTTGCATCAGAAACCTAGGTTTCAAGCCCCACATTTCTGAGGCATACAGCTGTAACAGGTACACACAGGTTTGCACCAGCACAAACACCTAACACAGACATGCTACAGCACTGCAAGCCATGCTGGCCTAAGTCCATTCTAAGGCAACTCGGGCAGAACAGTGGCAGCTTCTTCAATGCTGACAGACTATTTCTCACAGCACATGCACTCCAGATCATTTACAGCTCTTTGAAGTAAATACAGAAGAGTACCAACCCAATACGACAGCACTGTCCTGAATATAACTAATGGTGCATGGAGCCCAGCCCTAGAAACCCGCGGCATTTCACTCCATCAGATACAGGAATACAGCTACCAGATATGCTGTGGCACAACCGTACTTATGTACACACACGCGCACGCGCGCAGACGGCTGCAAGGTGGGTGAGATTGTGGACCATTTGCAATTGGTTGGTGGGACTTTCCATCTACCCCTATTTCTTTCAAACTACAGAGTTATTAATGTTAAGTTAAACTCACATCACAAGCAGACATCTAATAAAGTTTAATCTTGAAGGAATCCACTGAGGATATCTCCCACAACACACCACAACAGACACAAGGCCTTTGGTGCAACCCATCAAAAACTACACATGCTACAACAGTCATGGGAAGCAAGCAGAAGAGGGCAGCAGCAATCCAAAGAAGTGAACTATAAGGAGAGTGGTTCCATCTGTAGTATGATTTTACCTGGTCTTTATCAAAACACAACAGGCTGGGGTAGGGGAAGGAAGATGGAGTCCTCTCATCATTCTTGCTGTCTACCACCAGATGTGTGATTAGGGCAATGGCTTACTCAGGCTGCTTCTCAGACATGCCAACAGCCCCATCCAACTCTAGCTTTGGGCAGTCATAAAGTGAAAAATACATTAAGCATCAGAGGGGCTGGAGAAAGGGGACACAAAGCAAAGACTGAAACATCAAAGGCCAAAGTTCCAGGTTTCTAACTGAACAGTCACTCCTTTTTATTGATACATGGGGGGAGGAGAGGGCTGCTTTGTTTAGTTCTGCTTACTTGCCCACATTACCCTGTTCAGAAGGCTGTTCCTGAACTTCTCTGTAAACATTTTTCCAAAATATCTTGTCTAAAGTTGATTCACGACCAAATTATTTGTTCCTGTTCCAGCACAGTCGTTTGATTTTAATAATTTTTCTTCCATGCATATATTTTTACTCACTTCTCCCTCCCAATACATTTTGTAAGGAGTAGTTGCATCATCTTCCAGCCTTCATTTTGCAAGACTACTCGAACTAAAACTTTTTTTTTTAAATAAACTTTTCTCAAAAGCAAGTTTTCCATTCTCCCTTATCAGCCTCATAGCATCTTTCAGCATTTATTACAGTTTACGTTCTTTAAAAACAAAGGAGGTGGGAATGGTACAGTGTTCTAAACACCTTACTGTTGCTTTGTAACAACAGTACTAATACTGTCATCTACTGAAAGTACTTCACCCATATCTCACAATCTCACTAGTCCTGTTCATAGTGATATCCCTTTAATTCTGCATGGGAATTCCAGACTGATAAAGATGAAAGGAGGGGACAAAGGGCCAAATTTAATCAACTGACAAGACTTCAACTAATTTTTGAAAGTAGTTCCCAAGTATGAGATTTTTCATTCTCCGTTGTTACATCTCATTTCTCTTACTCCTATCCATAAAAGCATCCAGTCCTTCCTTTATGATTATCCTACCTAGTTTTGCTCCATCCACATCAAAACACTGTTCTGACAATCATGCCACTAATGAAAACATTTAAAAGGATCTCCAGCCCATCCCTGGTAACACAAATATTAACTTTAGTGATTTGTATTAAAAAAAAAAAAAAATCCCCTTTTTACCACCTTCCCACCCATTTTTTGTAAAAATTGCTATCTTCTATATCTTAAAACAGCAATTCTCAAACTTTTTAGATCGCTTC